TATATATATATACGTAATACAAAAGTTATAAATACTTTTGTATTAATAAAAGCATTAAAACTTCATTCGTTTTCATATAATATCTTTGGTAAAGGACAAGGGTAGAAATTCTATTTTGGGACTTCAAGGCTAAAACCATGCCAATGAAAAATAATTAGATTTATATTTCAAAAGAGAAGTTATTTTAAGATCTTTCACTTCCATATAAGGAAAGATTAAACGATTTGCTATGAATAATAAATAATTTTGATGAGGCGTAGGAATACACAAGGAAGGCAAATGACTGGCCTCTTCACAACTTTTAATCATCTTATAAAATACAGGAGCAATGATTTTGTGTGTCTTTTTGGTGTATAATGTTTACCAACTAAACTCCGTCAGATCTGACTGAAACTCTCCCTCTCCGGCTGGAGAGGGGTGAAAATGCTATTTCACCATCGTTTATTAAAATAAAAGAATATACCGAAACTGGACTCCTTAATCATGCTGCTTTGATTTTTAATTTACTAAAAAATATCGGTGTGGATACACCGTTACTTCATATATATATATATATATTCTCCGGGATGCATTTCCTTACTATAAAGATCTAAGATAATAATCCTAAGATTAAAAATATGCTCTTATATATGCTTCAAAAAAATAATAATAATTCTGTAATTGTAAATGATTTTGAAATGAAAAAAGAAGATACAAACACGCAAATATAAAATACGAAAAAATAAATTGACTCATCTGTTAACAAAACTTGCTTAGAAGAAAAATTAATAAAGCATGTGGTACGTGCTTTCTGATAGCATTGTATAAAAAATTAATTGGTAAAAATTATAGCAATATATAATTTACTCATTTGAATGAACCACACATACATCAGGTAACAGATTTCCAGAGCACAAATTTAAATAGGAGATGAAATGTTAAGAGTTTAATTTTCAAATTGAAACTACAAATGTATAACACTTACATTTTGGTAACCAATGAATTCTTCTGAGTACCTTGAACACATTAAAACAACTCCAGTAAATGTTGTGGCAATGATAAAACCATTTATTGACTAAAAGAAAAAAATAAAACATATACATACATACATACACATATTATATATATATATATTAAAAGAAAATACAAGTAACTTCCATATACGAGGCATAAGTTGGTTTCTTTTAAGTTTTATTTAGTATCTTATGAAAAATTCTTTAAGGAAAAGGTTTCTCCAATCAGGGTCTTAGGGGTTGGATCATTCGGGCAATAGTTTTCCTAGCAGTTATATCACGAAAAACCACTCGAAATTGGTCTGTCCCTTCTCTTATTCAGGGATTTTGATGGGGATTGGGCTGCAAAAAATCTTTAACGTAATCTAACGTCATCCAAAAGGAAAAATTTAACCATCTTGATTCGTTTTAACAGATGATGGTATGCAGATTTCGAATTTTTGGGATTTCCTTAATGAGCATATTTCTGAGCATTATTACCCATTAACTTTAGGAAATAATCTTTTAATTGAGATCTTGACTTTTTAGGGCTCTTTGTGAAAGAACGGTTTCTAAGTCTTAAAATTAATAAGAGAATCAATTTCTTATCTATGAATTAATACATAAAGACTTGTCACGGTGCGCCTTAACCAAAGTTAAATAAAATGCTCTTACACCTAGAAAATTAGAAGAGATTCTGAATTTACAATGTTCCTAGATAATAAAAATCGAAAAATTAAAATAATCTGTGGATAGATTTTTAAAAAAATCCAATTTGAACATTTTTGCTCACGAAGTACGATATTTCAAAAATGTTAGCATCATTTTATACTTATAAAAAAAATAAAATATAATATATTTGTATTAAATATTCATAATAACTAGAGCCCGGATTTTGATGACCTAAAAAATCTCAACTAATGCCCTTAAAAAGTGCAAAAAATGCCCTTAAAAATGCAAAAATTGAGCAAAAAATGCCGTAAATAAAGTAAAAATATTGAATTAAAAAAATGTTTTGCTCTTTAAAATTATAATGAGTCATTTAAAAAATATAAAGCAATGCAATACTTGTTCTACGTTCATTAAAGTTTGAAAAATATGTTTTATATCCTAAAATAACAAAAAAAGGAAAATATATTGACACCAAAATATTTTTATTTTGTATAGAAACTTTAATGGATATAACAACTTCCATCTCATAATATTACTAAATATCAGAATTACATTGGATTATTAAATGTTTTTTGATAATTTGAAATGTAAACGAGCGTCTCTTGTCTGAAAGTAAATTTTCATTCCTGCAGAAGCTTCTTTCAACGTCTACTGATGTTATAGGTGTGTACTTGAAAAAGACGGTCTCACTTACTGACAATTCTTCTTCAATTTGAAAAGAATTTGCTTCACCTGTTAATATCCTATAGATTTTCCTCATTGTTTAGAAGCCAGTGTAATAATGAAAATTGATAAAAAATTATAAAAATTGGAAAAAATTAACAGAAAACTTAAAAAAATGTATTAAAATGCAAAATACGTCCCTAAATTTAAAGAAAAATGCCCTATAAATCTAAAAAAATGCTCTAAAAGACAAAAAATGCAAAAAATGCAAAAAAATGCAAATGTCATCAAAATCCGGGCCTTAATAATAACCATTTATAATAAATTTTATAATTATTAGAAGTTTTTTAAGAAGTTCTTGTGATGGCCATATGTCGTTTCGCAACCTAATTAAATACCCGACATTGGAGGATAAGCAACAACCAGAACGCGAGTCTGGTGACAGATAAGTTCTTGTGATGGCCATATGTCGTTTCGCAACCTAAGTAAATACCCGACAGTGGAGGATAAGCAACTACCAGCACGCGAGTCTGATGATAGAGAAGTTCTTGTGATGGCCATATGTTGTTCAAAAATAACTAAACTCAGAGGATAGCATATTTTAACGACATATTTCTTAGTAATCTTTTTCGTGAAAGAAAACATATTCCCTCACATAATATGCAGAATGGATTTTAAATAAAATACTCTTACAGTGTATAGAAATAATAAAATATAAAAAAATGTTAAATACTTTTTCTAATATATCCATGTTCGTAACCAAAGAATGATGCATATCAAGGTAATTCACAACAGCAGACTTGAAACGTTTTGCATTCAAGCAACCTAAAAATACAAAGATAGCTCTTTTAACCTTTTAGTGCAAAACATTTTTGTTTCGTTTTAGCAATTAGTTTTGTGCGGTCTGAAATGGTAAAAAGTTATAAAAGAACAACATATATATGCAATGATTGATATTAGGGGGACCGGAAAGTAATGCTGTTTCGGTGCATTTGATATTTGCTATCAAGAGTTTATTTTTAATCAATAATGTATTCATCCTTGTTAGCTACAACCTTTTAATGACGGATCGAAAATGAATCGAAAAAAATGAATTAGTTTCAAAGACTTACAAATAATTAATGCATCGAAACGACATTACTTTCCGGTCCCCTTAATAGTATAACTAAGTAATATATACTTATTGTTTTACATTATTATCAAAACTTTCCTACTTTTAAAAAGAAAACATTTACGCACAAAATGTTAAACTTTAATAATATAAGAATTAAATTATTTTATACATAAAATTTAAAAACAAAACATGTAGAGTAAAAATTAAATGATGAACACTACGATGAGCTGCTCAGAAGCCAATGCAATTAAGTCCATTTTTTGATATTTTCTGATTTTTGGAAATTTTGATGAAATAAATAATAATCTCCTTAGTTATTAAAGGATTTATTCGTTGGTTACTTTTTTCTAGGTTAGACAGCCTTTCTTTAATAGCTTCTGAATATAGTGTATAATAATTTTAGAAGCCATTGTGAATAAGTCCACCTTTTATCAATATTTAAGTATATACCTCCAATATTAAGTATATTTTACCTCCTTACCTCCAATATTAAAGTATATACCTCCAATTAAACACGACTTTTACAGGACATAAAGGACAACACGTGGAGATCAAGATTTACATTTAAATAACTCGGAAGAAGATGATGTTTGTTGTGATGAATAAACATAAAACTTATGACAATAAATGTTATTTTATTATTTTTACATAAATTTCTTATCTTTTTCAGCTGCCAAAAGGTATAAGTCCTAAAATTTTTAAGATGCTGTCATTAATTCAATAAATACTTACGTTTTTATTGACACACCCAGTACATATCTCGCTTTTTTGCAGAGTTTACACCTCGAAAAAAGACTTTATACACTTTTCTAATTAAATTAATAAACCAAGAATTTTAAAAACTAATGTATAAAAAAATATTAATTTTCTCAATTTTTATGTTTTGGACTTAACCGCATTGGCTTCTGAGCGACTCATATAGGAAATAGCATTATTTAGTGTGTTTTGCTGTTATCTAATGTTATAATTTATTTAAATATATATGAATTAAATTATTTTTCTTACATATAATTTTTAGAAAAATAATTCAAGTAAAGTGAATATTGTAAGATGAACACTACGATTCACAAACAGGAAAGATTATTCTGTGCATCTAGCAGTTATTTAATAAAAATTCTCAAATTTAAAGTATCTATCTGGAAACAATTCGACGTAAAAAAAATATCACCTTCGGAAAAAAAAGGGATCTCACATTCCCTCAGGTAATTTTTAGAAACTGATATTATTTGGAGAAGTACCAACGTTTTAATGTTTATCTTAAACACTTGTCAAAGCAAATTTTACATAAAACTGAGCAGGACCATTTCTGAAAGCTTTCAAAATACCAAAATTATTCTTGCCTGTCCAAAATATTAAAATAATTTCGGTCTTTACATAAAACTTCAAAAAAATACACAAAATTTGAAACATAATATCGTAGAGATAGTCTAAAGTTTAAGGTCCAAAAAACTAAAAGAGAAAAGAAAGAGAGATAATAAAAATTAAAATAAAAATGCTGATATCACGGAATCTTATTCATAGTGAATGAATGTAAGGTCAAATTTAACGACCACGCAATAGATATAGAACCTATTAATATTCTCAACCAAGAGTACCAAGTTAATATTAAAGTCATTACAGCAGGTCAAAACTGTTTCCTTTTTATTCTGAGCGCCGCCAGCAATAAATGACTAAAATCCAATTTTTATGCTACGCAATAGAACATCTTAACTTTAAAACAGACTTTTTTGAATGGTATTATTAATATAAAATAACTGAAAAAACTAAGCAAACTTTTACTGCTTAATAAATAAAATGTTTGAATTAATCGCGTCTGTAGGCAGGGCTAAAGAGAATAGAAGGGCTGGTTCACTCCTTTGAAGTATCTCTTGCCGCGGTCTGAAATAGAACACGTAGAGCACCTCCATNATATTTCGTTTCTTCCTCTAATGTAACTTTTTTCATTTGAACTTTAAATGCAAATAAAATGTATGGGCTAACTAAAGCGCAGTTGCTATTTCATTTCTAATTTTTATAATAATAATCGTTTTTATTAGAATAATAATCGTTATACAATAATAACGATTTTATTTATAATAATATCGTTTTTATTTATAATAATATCGTTTTTATTTATAATAATAATCGTTTTTATTAGAATAATAATCGTTATACAATAATAACGATTTTATTTATAATGATATCGTTTTTATTTATAATAATATCGTTTTTATTTATAATAATAATCGTTTTCATTTCTAATTTTTATAATAATAATCGGCAATAAATATCGTTTTTGAATAAGCTACATTTTTTGTAATTTTATTCAAAAATAAGTAAGTTTTATTAATCAGTTAGATAGTTCACTCTTGTCGGTCAGAACTGTATTCTTTATTTCAAAATGATTTAAAAAACACTATTTATAAGTAGATTTTAATGGTTTAAAGAAGTTTAGTTAATTGTGCAAAAATGGTTACAGAAGCTTATTTTAAAGTTAAAACACGCAAAACAAATTTTCTTTGAATATTCCCAAATTATTTTTCTAGTCAAAAGCAGGAAGTAAATTTTAAACAGTCACATTTCTCTCTGGTTTAATACATTCAAAATTCCATCAAAATTAGGTGTTTTCACTGAATTTAAGATAGAATTCTTGTTCATTTTTTTTTTGCATTTCCTTCATTGTTTGTCTTTTTTTAAATGTTGTAGGAAAAAAATTAATTAATTTGCCTGAATATAAATGAACACAATTACAAGGGGGAATAATTGACTTTCAATTTTTTTCTGATGTAATTCAGAATATTCGAGACAATTAACTCGAAATAAGAAAAAACACATATCTCGTATTAAAGTCATTATCAATTTACCGCCGATATAAACTTTAACGTTTGTTTCGTTCTCTCTACTTTTATTAATAAAAAAAATATATATTGGACATCCATTTAATAAAAATGAATGTTTCTTTTTATCTTTTAGGTTAAGAGCGATCGTAGCTTCAGCTCTAAGAGCGGAGTGAACTAGCCCTTGTATTCTCTTTAGCCCTGGTCTGTAGGAGTAATAGGAAACAATGTAAACTTTAACTATTACTTTTTAGCTGTTGAATCTGAGTCGAATAAAAAAATACTGTAATCCGTATTAGTGATGCAACGGATCTTAATTTGGCCGGATAACGGATACCGGATATCCGGTCAATCTTTGAGCCGGTTATCCGGTATCTGGCCGCAGTACTTTTTTTAAAATAAGTATTCATATTTAATTGGACTAGACAAAACTATCATTTTTCTTTTGCTTATATGATTATATATTTCTTTTAAATAAACTTTCAATTAAAAGTACTTAACTTTAAATTTCTGAATATCAATAAATAACTATTATGTAAATAACACTTAGTTGAAGAATGTTATCTGCACTGAGTATTGATCCTCAGATCGATTATTACTTTATTCTAATATTTGTCTTTAATATAACTGCCAACCATTCAGATCTTTTCTCAATTTTTTAAATCAAGTGAAACTAGAAATTTTTTTTTTATGAAATTAGTTATTTATTAGTTAATATTTAGGGGAGAGTCGGGTACCCCGGTCGGGATTTTAAAAATCAAAGATGTTGGCTGTTATATAATTATAATATAATAAATATGTATATCCGTAGAGTAAATATATTCTGTTGTAATTGTATACCATATTTTTATATACTACATATGTTATATTACATAACTTTCAAAGTACTAACATACTTTAAGAATATTTATATCAATGGTTAGTATAACATAGCTGTTGTAGGCGTGACCAAGATAAAAACTAAAACCTAATACATATTTTAAGTATAATTTCTTTTTTTTATAAACACTATAAGTATAAAAAAAATTATATTTGAAAAGAATATTGATTTTTCTGTTAAAATTACATTTTCTACCATCATTGTGATGAATTATATATCAATATATATTTCATTTTTACCTTTCTACTCAATATTTCGAGCCAAATGTTACTGCTGGATAATCATAATATCCGGCCATAACCGGATATCCGGCCTGCTAGCCGGATAGATACTGCCTGCCGGATATCCGTTGCATCTCTAATCCGTATTGTTGTTTTGTATAACTTTTATGAATAAAAAATATTGAATCAACATAAAACCTTGTTTAAAATTATTTTCAACGCATTGTCTAATATTCAGGGGTGATTGTGAGCCGAACTCAAAAATCCTGAAAATTTCTCCAATAAAATGATTAATTACGTAATGCAAAAAATTAACGTATTTATAAATTTAAATCATTGATATTTTCAAAACATGAAATTCTAAATAAATTATATGCAGCATAATTTATATTAATAGTTATGCATAAGTTTACTTTTATCTCTAATCACATTTATTATTCTACCAGAAAAAATATTTACAAATGAAAGAGATGCCAAGTATAAATTCGAGTTCTAGTATTTCTAAATAAAACATAAAATTTTTTTTAATACATAAATGTGATCAATAATTTCTTGAAACTTTTGGACCTCGGATTTCCGGAAACTTCCGGATCGCGTTTAACGAAATATCCGGAAATCCGGATTTTTTCCGCAGCACAATCATCTCTGAATATAAAACACCAATTGTTAAGTGGTTTCAAGCTTAAAATATCTAAAGAATCTTTTTTCAAATATACTTAAGAATACTGCAAGATTAGTGATTTTTATCTTTATATCACGTTTTGGAAAGTTTTGGAAATTTGCAGGAGTAGTTA